CACACCATTTTTTCAGACCATCATCACTAGGTGGGTAATGTGGTTAGCATTACGCCGGCCGTCTTTACTTCCACAGGACAGCCATCTTGGTATCCATTTAAGGCTGTGTCGACCTACGACGCCCAATAACATAATAAAAATCCACGCCGCCAGCAGTGTGTTTCGATCGCTGTGGGTTAAAACTACGAGTCGGAATCGCAACGCCTAAGCCACAGACGCCGCTGTATGTGGCCATGATATGTATGTTTTCTTGGACGACACTATGTTACTTTTATCTTCTTATCTTTTCCAGGCACTTCGTGTTATTCGTCTGCATTCACGTGAGATTTCTACGCATAATTCTTGTACCGGTGATGCTGCTGCTGTTTCCAGATATCAAGAAACAAATCAAAACCTGGAGACCTTGTGCTCGATCAGCTCCTTGCCCCGAGAATTTAGTTGTCATCTACGAGAAAAACGCTGCATGATTGCCACAAAAATCATGAAAAAGACTACTTAGTTATTTTATTGTTTTCCTGTACTGTACCTGTTATGGACAGCGTTTCAGCCTCTGTGTTTGGCATTATGACATAAGGAACTACCTACTGCTGAGTGATTTTTTTTTTCTTTTAACACCGAATACCTGTAATCATCGAAACGGTGACGATAAAAGTCATTCAAAAGTGGAACTTCTGTGGCGACGTTACATTTCAGAACCTAAAGACATTTCAGTCCAGAATAATTGTGGAACATGTTCCGTTACATCGAAGTCCTGAAATGTATAAAGACTTTACCTGCCACCAAACGGCATACGGCTTGTCGGTATTAATAGGTTGTATATGTCAACTCGTCGGCTCTGTGGTTAAGTCGATGCGAACGCTTCGTAATGCCAGGGTTCGATCCCAACTGCGGGCCACGCGTCTTGCGACGGTTTCGACAGTGGTATCAAGAAAGCCGACCGTCCAGGAGGCAATGGCAAACTATTGGACGTAAATTTGCCTAGAAAACCACACAACAGCCAGGGGCTGTTAGGGTTGGTTCTGCAACGTCCTGTAAAGGAAACGCAACTAACCTGTATGTCAACGCGAACGTGGTCTTAGTAGTTTCTTCAGGTGTTTAGGTGGATTGGTTGTCCATTGTTTAGAGACATGTTGTAGGGCACTGCTAGGACAAGGTGTCAGTGCAGGTTTGCAAATCGCCCAAGACGCTTAAGTCGGTCGGAATGTTTAAGAACATTTAGAGAACCGCCAAGGAAGAAGGAAATGGTTGATTTCAATCAGCTGTTGATTACAGAGATGGCAACCAATCAGGCAGGGGTTTCGACAAGAAGCACAGCCAGGTGAAACTGTATTTACTAGAAGTCGTCCCCGTGTGGGATGAAGTTTGTCGTTATTTTGAAGCACCACACTGGCTGTTGCCGGGGCCCTAATATAACGTACAGTTGAACCGTGGTTTCGGGACCTCTCCACAGGTGATCCACATCCGCATGGTCGCATTTTGTGTCACCGGGTGTTTATTTTTCTGTGTGCTGTTCTGGATGGGTAAAATTTACTTACTTACTGAAACTTTGAGAAAAAAAAATTTAAAGCGCACCCAGGTTTCGTCGTTCTCACAAACAACACCACCGTCTTAAAAGAAGTATTCTAATATCGGCTATCCTCCCAATAACGGTCGTAAATTATCGGGGCGGAAAATATACCCTAACAGGGCATCAGTCCCGTGTCCATTGCGCAGTTCCGTCGTCATGAAATGCGTGGATTAGGGCTAAACTAGATGGCTAGGACTCACGAGCAGCAGCTTCCTAGCCATCTAGTTTAGCCCCAATCCACGCTGCGTGGGCGGCGTCAGGCTGTAAATTTTGTATCAGATGTGAAAAACTGTTGCTTTGTTGAATAAATATACAGCTGTGTGTACGACTGTGTTTACGTCTTGCTGCTTCCTCTATATACGTCTGTTTTATGAAAAACAAACATAACAGATTAAATAAGAATACTGGAATACAAGAGCTGTGTTGCCTAATAACATAACCAAAACCACCTAATAGACAACAGCGGTATACTAACTGAACACATGCACTAGCTAATAGACAACAGCCATATACTAACTAAACACACACCCTAGCTAACAGGTAAAGACCCTGGGTAGACGTGATCGCCTTTTGGCAAGGGACACGATCATGCTTGACCATACCAAAGGCACCTTAGTTTTTGTTTTTTTTGTTTTTCACTTTTACCATTTTTTTATTTACTACATATAAAACATATATACTCTTGACCCCCTCCATCCTATTTTTCTGGATTCTACTATAGAACCAGCAGGTCCGCCGCCTCGCCTGCCTCTGCTAGTGAAACGCGTAGGTCCTCTGCCCCACCTTCAAGAACCTCCTCCGAGCTTCCAGGTACTGCACTTTCCTAGCAGTTCGTGCAACTCGTTGCCACCCCCGCCCCTTTTTTCCCTTCGAGGTTAATGTAAGGTGCACAGAGAATAAAGAAGGGGCTAAATTCCTAAGAATATAGAGTAAGCCGCCTCCCCATTTGCGGTCCGTTACTAACACATAATGATATAATACTCACGTATACGATTATATAGATTCAGATCTTGAACTTTTCAGCTCCAGTTCACCCTGTCATGTGTATTCGCTTTGTATTTCGTGCCGCTAACAATAAACATTTATTTCACATAACCCAACAAACGTTGTTTCGCAACAAGTTTTAAAGCCCTTTCGACGGTGTAAAGTGAGCACGCAACCCGATAATTCAAATCTCTCACCAGATTTGAAAAAAAAGAATAACGTACCCTTTCCCCCCGCCTAGAGGCGTATGGGGCCTATAGGGCTAGACCTATATTTTTTAGACCAAAGGGAACTTGGTGGGTGATGTGGTCAGCATTACGTTGGCAGCCTTTACTTTCCTAGTCTGTACTTCGTACCCACACAAAGCTGGGTCGACCTGGGTGTCAAAGTCATTTTTTTAAAACAAGTTGGGCCTAATTCAGGACCCGAACCCAGGACTTTCCAATCCGTTGGCGAGCGTCTAGCCTCTAGACCACGGCGGCTCCCTTACCAGATATGTATATAGCGTGCATTTGTTTTTCTGTGTGGGTCGCCTTGGTGTAGCAGCTAGATACTTGGGACCCGAAAGTCGTGAGTTCAAATCCAGACAAGGCTGTCTTTTTTATTTTTTTTTTATTTTTTTTTTTCAAAAAAATGAATTTGACTCAGCCTTAAATGGACACCAGAAGTCCTGGAAATTAGAGACCGCCGACGGATTGAGTTAAGTCAATAATTCACATCACAGCACTCGGGGCATTCCTATGCGTGCTCCGTCGTCATCTTCAGCAGCCAGCGCAGTTCCAAAACTAATGTTACTGGTTGTGATCCGGTTATATGTCCGTCTTGCATTTCCTCTGAGTGTAGTGAGCGGGCCAGACCCTCTGGTTACACCCAGGTGAGCCATAATAATCTAGTTTATCTTCTGACTTCGTTCCCCAATGGGATTCTGACCGACCAAATCACCCACCAAGTACCGACTAGCCTATAAAATAGAAGTCTAGCCTTATGTGCCTAATAGGCCTGAAGGTGTGAAACAGCATCCTTTACTTTACTTTGCTTTACTTGTTTTGCTGCGGATGTGAATTTAACTCTTTATGTCCCAGGCAAACCTATCGATGTGTATCTAGAGCGGCGATATCCTGAACAAACACCAACCTAATGACCATTTATTATGGGTGAATAAAGTAAGTAAAGTTATGTGCGTACTTACGTCCTTTTCAGGACGTAATTTTTTTTTTGTTATTTGAAGCCCCACTCTGGCTTTTGCCAGGGGCCGCAATATAGGCAGGCCATCAATGTGGCCAATTGTCTGAACGCGGTTTCTGGGACCTCTCCACGGTGATCCTCATCCGCATGGTGGCACTTTGTGTCATCGGGTGTTTATCGCTTGTGTGATGTCCTGGTGGGGTAGAAAGTCAGTCAGTAAAGTAAAGTCAAGATCCCTTTTCCCACCTCTAGGCGCACAGTCATATGGAAAGAGAACCCATATTTTTACAGACTAATCGGCATTAGGTGGTTAATGTGGTCAGAATTACGCCGATTATGGGTGGATAGCTGGCCATTAAACACGGTAGAAGATGTCGAGGCCGACCTCTACTACTATATACAGATGTGTGCAAGCGGTACATGAAGGATACGGGTATTGAGAAGGACACGTGGGAACAAACTGCCAAGGACTGTTTTGTTCGGAGAGGGACACATTAGGAAGAGAAATGAGAATAAAGGAGGTAATGATCGTTGAAAGGATCAGAGCAAAGTGTCTGAGAAGAAACAGACCAAACACAAATGTTGACAACAACGGTCCTTAAATCCTATGCTGTAATTGTAGAAGACTTTTTATAACGCCGGCTAGTCTTGTTAGTCACACTCGCCATTGCTAAGGGCTATGAGTCACATGTCTCCTCAAAGCGCAAAATAGCACTATCGTTTGAAAAGACTGAAAGGTGCCAGTCAAGTTGGTCATACATCGTCGTCACATGGTGCGGCAAGTTCAACTCCTGGAGTGACAATGGATTTCAATATTTACATTTTCGTATCTAGTGGGTCCCCGGAGTCTCTACTTCTTTCGTCTGCTTCTGTCAGAAAACGTAATACAATTTGTTTATCATTCACATCATACTATGTGTTTGGTTTTGTCTTGTGTGTGTGTGTGTGTGTGTGTGTGTGTGTGTGTGTGTGTGTGTGTGTGCGTGCACTAAACGAAAATATTGTAGTCATTGCATCTTTTCGTATAAATTTAGATTCTATATAAAGAAAAAAAAAAATGTTTACGAACTATGATGCTTCGTGTAACGAGGAAAGATCGACTTAGAAACGACGATATCATGGGCAGAGTCAGCACAGAACCTCTACTGTACTTTACTGAACTTTATAGGTAGACAACAAATGAAAAGGTTTAGCCATGTAAGAAGATCGGTATCCGATAGGGCACCACATGAGAGCAATGCTATGCAGATACAATGGTAACAGGCCCCGCAGCGTCGACCACGCAGAATATGGACCGCAGAAATATCAGTCACACTGAAAAGTACAATATACGAAACAAACAGAAGGGCCCGTTCCAGACAGTTCCTGCCCTGACTCCACGAGGCACTCCAGGAATAGGGAAAAGAAGAAGAAGAAGAAGAAGAAGAAGAAGAAGAGAAGAAGAAGAAGAAGAAGAAGAAGAAGAAGAAGAAGAAGAAGAAGAAGAAGAAGAAGAGAAGAAGAAGATAGATTCTATATTTATTTCGATGCATATTTGCTCTAGATATCATCATCATGTAGCAGGTCCTTTGCAGAACATCGCTCTGATCACGGTCTGCCTGAAAGAAACTCAGTCTCTCGCCAGCTCTCCCGCCACATGTACTTTCATACTCAAAGAATCACTTATATCCTATGCCCATCTTTGTGCCGCTAGGCCCCTGCCCCACCTTCCTGGTATCATGCCTTTTGCTA